ACAAATTCGCTATTTATAAATTAAAATAGGTCAAGCTTTTGATGTCAGTATTTGACCCCGCTAAACAGATCACGTGGTGTAAAGCGGTTAGCGTTTTAGAATTTCGATCACATTCTTCATTCACAAAAAAGTACTTTAACAACATTAAGTTATGTCAATCACGCAACCTTTTTGATCTAACGGACGCTTTGATTACTCAAGTGCTTCATCTGATTTCACAAAGATTTCACTGTGGGTTCCCTACCTTAAACCCTGGCTTTTAAATCTGATCCTTTTTTACTTTCTCACGTTTTGTGAAGAATTGTAAGCGTGTGACAAATTCAAAGTATTTGAGAACTTTATCATTTAGGTGGACGAAATTCCAGATTTGAATGTGATCTATACGTGGGTTTTTTCAACTTTTAAGCGATTTCCGGTACTCAGAAATTTTACTCTAATTTATACAAACACGCACTTACACACACATACTCATACTCACACTCATACATACTCATACTCATACACATACACACACTTTGACCACACCCACACCCACACACACTCGATACACACACATTTTCACACACACACACACACACACACACACACACACACACACACACACACACACACTCAAACACACTCTCACAGGAGAGAGAGAAAGACGCAACACACCCGGTCAATGACATCACTGAACACACGTTTTGTACTGTTATATTTGTAATGGTACCATTTAAACTAATGGCATTGAAATGAATGCTGTCGAAAACAAATTGAAAAGTTACATATGAAATAAACCATCATTTATTTTTAAAGTGAACAAAAGTGTTAACAATTAAATTCACAAAACATTTACTAAAGCTGGATAACTTTAATAGCGATTAAAGTCTTCTATAATTTCCATTAATTTTAGTTGTATTAAAATATTTTAAAAAGTAAGGTTTAGAATCCAGACACAAATAATAATCAGGTGCTCTCTGGCAGTTTCACGGGAGTGTATCATTAGCATCAATTAAATATCTCAACCCTTTGTTGTCGCTGTCGACTGTGTGATCGATGTCGCTTTGTTAACACGGTAATTTGTTGTGACTACTGTGTAGTCAAAGTCCAATAAGTTATTGATTGATTGTAAGACAAACGTAAACCTAGACATTCAAAGGTTTATTAAGTTTTATTCACTTTATAAATTTGAATACAGTTAAAAGGAGTAAAACCAGTTAACTAAAACGTTTAGATTTAAATTAGATTCGGTGTAAATATTTATTAATGTGAATAAGTCTCTCAATAATTGTTTATCCTGGGTAGTATTTTAATATTACTGTTAACATTAACGTTAACAGATGTTAACGTGCTGGATGTTTTACTGAAAGTTAACACAGCACCCAACACCATCTCAGCAATGAATGATACAGCCTACGTCAAGATCGTGTCGCCTCTTTTCCCCACCAAAGCACTAGAAGCTTTCATGCTCTTCAACTTATTTTGTATAGAGATCACAGCCATCCTTGGCATTATAGGGAACGGCGTCAGCATTGTGGTGTTTGCCAGACAAGGGTTTAAAGACAGCATCAACGTCACGTTGGCTGTACTGGCTGCCAGCGACATAGGGGCGCTAGTCACCAACCAGATGTTCGGGTTGCTGAACAACCCGTGGTTCCAGAAGTCCAACCTGCCCATCGACTACAGCGGCGTAGCCACCATGTTGGTGTACATCCCACACAACTACTTCTCCAAAGTGTGCGGGTTCGTCACCGCCTTCGCCTCTTTTGAACGCTGCCTGTGTGTGTTAGCCCCGCTTCAGGTCAAGCAGATTATCACAAGAAACGTCGCTATCGTCGTTAACTCTACCATCTGTGTACTGATGCTGCTAGATTTTGTACCCTCCTACTATATCTACTACCTAGACTGGGTTTTCATACCGGCAACCAACCAAACAAAGCTTCTCAAATTATCACGCGTGGACCCTATCAACGTATTCAGCAAATCTCTATACGTCACAGAATTCACTCTACCTTATCTGACCTTCTTCTTCATCATCGTCACCACCGTCGTCATAGGTATACAGCTCAAGGGAAGGCTACTCTGGAGAAAAACTGTAACTTTAATCAACAAAGACGCGGGGTTTAAGAGTTTGAATAAAGAAATGCATGCAGTTCAGATGTTGGCGGTGGTGTCTGTGGTGTTCGTGGTGTGTCTGACACCCCAGACGTTGGTCATCACCATCGCGGCCTTCTTCCCTGAGGTCAGCCACTCGGAGATCTACTACAACATTTTTCTCTTCTGCTACAGTCTGTCGTACCTGCTGGAGACGGTCAGTTCTAGCGTCAACCCGTTGGTGTACTACAACATGAGTGGCAGATACAGGAAGACTTTCTTTGTGGTGCTGGACGTGTTCTTACACCTGCCGTAGTGCCCGTGGGAGGAGGGGTGGGGGTGCAGGTGGGGGAGGGTTCAGCTCTAGCGTCAACCCCCTTGTGTACTACAGAAGAGTGGCCGTTAAGGTATCGTATTGCTCAAATTGCTATAAATCACCATTGAAAGGAAAAAAAAAGAAAAAAAAAAAGAAAAAATAGTTTCACGACTCCACTGAGCACAATTCCACATTGACTGATTCTACTGCTACAGTGGCCAGTTAATTTTTATGTTCGCTCCTCCGTCTAGCATTCATACACGTTTTTCTGCTTATTGTTGTGGCTGGTTCGTCTATTGTTTGACGGGATACTTGGAAAATAATTTTAGAACCCCTGGAAATCACAGTTAGTTAATCCCTCATTGAGCTGGAATAAACATGTGTTTGACACATCTTTACATTCAATGTAAAAAGTGACGTGGTCTGTCCATGCGTGTGTGTTCCTTATAAATGTCTCTTAAACGTGATGTGAAAAAAAATCTGTTAAATGTTTAAATAAATGCTACTTTATTTCACTTTTAGATATTTTTATTAGAAATTAAAAATATTAAATCCTTGACTCCACAGACACATTACATCCTTACATATGTAGGTGTTTTAAATCTCGTGATGTAAGTGTAATACTTTAGCCCAGACTTACCTTAAGATACAAAATTGCAATATAACAATATCAATCCCATTACCACAGTCTTTATCCCCAGTAATGTAATGTTTATTTAAGGAATATTCTGTTGAAGAAGTAAATAAAATTGTTTACAGGTAACCTAAAAGATAATCTAAAACAGAAAACATTTGACAGAAAACATCAGAATTTCATGTGGATGAAATGCTTTCTAAACCAGATGCCATTTTATTTAACAAAGGAATAAACAATTTCTGTAAACATGGCTGATGAGTTTGTATTTTTTTTAGTCTTTTAAACTACATTTACTATTTAGGCTAATTTGCTTTTAATTACAGTTTTAACTAACAGCTGTTTAACTCTATCAACGTTTATTAAAGCTGTTACTGATGAGGGCTATTTGTTGAAACACTGTTTTGTTTCACAAACCCTCAACCTTGTAGAGATAGTAAATTTGTTTTTAAAAACAGTTGTATAAGGCTGGGTTTATCGCTGTCCTTATACAGATCAAATGTTATACGACTATGACATTTTAAAAGGTCAGGTATCACAAATAACCGCATGATTTATCAACTAGATACAAGGTTTCTTTCACATACTTTCTTCCTGCAAAATCAATGAAGGGGAATTAAAACTTGCATTTAAAATTTCGGGTGGGGGGGGGGTGCTGGTTTAAGTATATTTTCTATTTAAATTTTTTTTTTCATTCCGCTCGGGGGTGTGAGTAGACGCAGTGTTACCTACCCCCCCCCCCCCCCTACGATATGTCTGGAAGAAATTCTGCTTTGACCACTCGATAAAAACACCTTTTGACTTAGACCACTCCAGTAAAAACGACTTCACCGTTCTTGCTCCACAATTCCAAGCAACTTTGGCTTAACCTGGTCTATCGAAAACAAAATTGAAAAAAAAAACCTCACTCGCCTAAACGATGAAATTAGCATTACTTTGACTACATTATACTTTTACAAACCACTAACTCTCCCCGTATCTACTAACTATAGAGCAAAACAAATGAAATTGAAAATACCCCCCCCCCCCTGCAGTTTGTTCCTGTTGGCCTGAATCAGTAATTAATTATCATGAGTGTTAGTGTCAGCGTTATAGTCAAACAATGAAAAAAAAAAGGGGGGGGGGAAATTAACAATTCAAAACAGACACGAAGGACTAAAAACAACAGTAACCAAAACAGAGAGATTAAAGGGAATGAAGGAATACAACTTCAGAGCAAGAGAACGAATTTATTCTGCAATGTGCTATATAAAGGAGGAATAAACAATGTTAAAAGTCAACAGGAACATTTTTTCAAGCATTTGCTGAAAAATGAGGTTGATATTTCTTTGTTTACTTTTCAACTTCATCGTGACGTCAGCACAGAATAGTTGGTCCAGTAAGTTTTGAAAGTTTTTCGTTGATTTTGTGGTTCCTTATTTTTACAATTTGTTTTTAAATGTATTGTTCGTTATTTTTTTACTATTTGTGTTTAAACTTTATCGTTCATTTTTTTTTACTATTGGTGTCTAAATTTGTGTTCTAAATTTAGAACATCAAAAATATGTAAAATTGTATTGTGTAATTTTGTTAAACGCATGAACCAATTAGCAATTAAATAAAATAATCTATATCCCATAATTTACAATTTCTCATCCTGTTCTTTGTTGTATTACTAGAGTTCACTTTGGCTACAATCTTCTTTTCTCTATACATTTTCATCCATAACACATATCAATCAGGAACGATCTTTACCACTTCCTTGCTTGAATAAACTATTTTAACTCCTAACTCACCATGAATGTTGTTCTAACGACTCCCCTTGTCAACCCCCTTTAACCCCCAGACGCCTGCTACAAAGATCTGGGATGTTTTTCTATTTTCGCACCATTTGGATTCACTTTACAGAGACCACTGGCTCTCCTGCCACAGTCGCCTGATAGAATCAGGTACCAGAATATGTCTTGTCGGATATCTATACCTACACTAAAGCTGAATATGTCGTTTCGGATATCTATTCCTACACTAAAAATAAATATCTTTTGGATATCTTTACCTACACTAAAACTAAAGTACTTTAGAAAATTATATTTAAATTTAAAGTTATAAGTAGTTAATAAAATTATGAGTTGTTGTTTAAAAGTTAAGTTTTGCACAATAATTATTTCTTTGAATTATTACATTTTTACTTTCTCGTGTATACGAAGTATAGAGAAAGTAGTGTAATCGTGCACAAAAATCACTTGAAATTTTAATAATTTTCACCGTATTACACCTCAGTCCTTCATCACATCCGAAGTATAGAGGACTTCTTTTAATCGGGCAAAAATTATCAATCCAGATTTATCAAAATTAAGAGGTTTTATGCGTAATCCAGTCTGAAAAACTGGGCTTTGCAATTCTGTCCGTATGTCTGTGTGTCTGTCTGTCTGTCTGTCCGTGTGTAAACACGATAACTTGAGTACCGTTACAGCTAGGTTGATGAAATTTCATATATAAGTATTTTATCAAAATCGTAGATCCGTATCAACTTTTGAGCGATTTCCGATAACCGGAAGTGGTACTTTTTCAACTTCGAATTTTTCAAAAGCCTATAACTTGAGTACTATTTCAGATAGATAAACGAAATTTCACATGTAAGTAAAAGATCTAATTCTCTACCTTCTGTTAAATTTTGAGTAATTTCCATTGACAGGAAGTAGTAATTTACGCTACTTCCGATTTCTCAAAAAACTAATGTAAATTTTTAAAGTACTAATAATATTGCGCACTATTATGCACTTTTTTGCGTTCACTTGGTGTGCAATTCTTTTGTCTACGAGATTTTATTCTATTTTTAAAACTTTAAGTATTTAAAATGGATTAAAAATCATGTCTATAGCCCGAGTTCCCATCCCCTGTTATTTTATATAAGAATACTCGAGAAAGTTTAGGGGAGATCACTCCCGGTTTATTTATATAATATAAAGCGTTTGAATACAAGGCACTTTAGTTAAAGAATACGTTTTTTTTAGTGAGATTTTAAATGAGTACATCTCCACGTTAGATAATTTCTTTTTACAAAATTGTTTTAATGTAAATTAAGTATTCTTAATCTCACTGATACTAAAACCCATTGTCAACTTTAGCTGTTTTTTCTTAATTTTCCATAGACTAATTTTGGGTCATGTTTTCTTTTTAACACTTTATCCCTACGTGAATTCAAATTTAGATAACCCTTAAAAACGTTGACCCTTCCCCACTCTGTTCACATAGCACCCTGACACTTTAATCCCCCACCCTGTCACCTAACACCCTAACAATTCGACCCCCCCCCCTAACATTTCCCCAGCACCCTGTTCAAGCTGTACACCCGAGCCCAACCGGCAACTCCACTAGACCTGCCAGCCACACAAGTCAAGACCAGTCTCACCACCATCTGGCCAGGTTTTGTCTCAAGACCGACCCAAATTATCGTTAACGGATATGAAGACAATGTCGACGTAACTAGCTGGGCAAAGGTCAGAGGTTAAGGTTAAAAATATATCAGTCGATAATCAAAAATACGTCTACACAATGAAAATATCATCTACGATAACATCGAATGTGATTTTTATTGAAAATTTATTAAACTGATTGTTTTAATAATTTTACATTCATGTCTTATCACGTACACCTAAAAAACAAAACTACGCCTCTATGAGAATCTACAACTCCACCAGGCACATGCAGTTCGACAACAATTTAATTATTGGTATGAACTGCGTTCTAAGGCAATATGTGCTCTGTTTGGGCTGATTATCCCCCTTAGTTTTTTTTTCTATTATCTCCCTGTTGCTTCACTTGGTGAAAGACGGCTGTTGCTCTAATTATCTCCCTTATTATTTGAATAATCTCCCCAGTTGTTTCAATTGTAACACATATTGATTTCATTATCTGCCCTGTTTTCCAGCAGATGAATGAGATTTTGCACTATTGTTTAACTTACCTCCCCTGTTTCAGTTATATCCCCATGTTGTTTGAATGATCTCCCCTGTTGATTCAATTATCTCCCTTATTGATTTAATTATCTCCCCTGTTGTTTGAATGATCTCCCCCTGTTCTTTGAATGATCTCCCCTGTTGATTCAATTACCTCCCTTATTGATTTAATAATCACCCCTGTTGTTTGAATAATCTCCCCCTGTTGTTTCAGCAAATGAAGGACGAGCTGTTGAAACAGGGAGACTACAACGTCATCCTTGTGGACTGGTCAGGGGGCAACAAGCTGCCCTACACCCAGGCCACAGCCAATACAAGAGTCGTAGGGGCTCAGATAGCTCAACTCATCAACCAAATCAGTGTACGTACATTTTATTTTAACAGCCAATACAAGAGTCGTAGGACTCAGATAGCTCAACTCATCAACCAAATCAGTGTACGTACATTTTATTTTAACAGCCAATACAAGAGTCGTAGGGGCTCAGATAGCTCAACTCATCAACCAGATCAGTGTACGTACATTTTATTTTAACAGCCAATACAAGAGTCGTAGGGGCTCAGATAGCTCAACTCATCAACCAAATCAGTGTACGTACATTTTATTTTAACAGCCAATACAAGAGTCGTAGGGGCTCAGATAGCTCAACTCATCAACCAAATCAGTGTACGTACATTTTATTTTAACAGCTAATACAAGAGTCGTAGGGGCTCAGATATCTCAACTCATCAACCAGATCAGTGTACGTACATTTTATTTTAACAGCCAATACAAGAGTCGTAGGGGCTCAGATAGCTCAGCTCATCAACCAAATCAGTGTACGTACATTTTATTTTAACAGCCAATACAAGAGTCGTAGCGGCTCAGATAGCTTAACTCATCAACCAAATCAGTGTACGTACATTTTATTTTAACAGCCAATACAAGAGTCGTAGCGGCTCAGATAGCTTAACTCATCAACCAAATCAGTGTACGTACATTTTATTTTAACAGCCAATACAAGAGTCGTAGGGGCTCAGATAGCTCATCAACCAGATTATTGTACGTTGGTTAAGCCGACTGTGTTTAGAGCAATCACTGTTGTCAGACCTAAGATCTACATTCTTGAAGATGTAAAAGCCTATATAGTTTTTGGCTGAGGTTATAAAAAAAAGACCTTTCAATAACAGAATTATATAAATCATAACGAAGAACAAGTGAAAGACTTAAGGAAGAAATCACGATATTTTCTGCATGGCCCGTGTTTGCTCGACGTGGTGAAAACAGTCTGGTCATGTCTAGTAAGAGAGTGGATATTTTAAAGATGTGTATCCCAGCCACCCATGTAGGAAATAACATGTATGCTACAAGCTGTACGTGCATTTTTTTAACAGTGGCCACCCTTCCCGAAAATTTTAGTCTGCGCCCCCCCCCCCCCAAATAAACATTAAGTACCACCCCCTGAGTAAAAATAATCTTGAAGAAACACTGTTGGACAAGTAATAATAGTAATTTTTAGTTTATATTTTGAAAATCAAATAACAATACACATGCAAAAATCAAAATGTTGTGTTATAGTTTATTACATTTGTGATTAGAATTCCTTTAGGTGAAAAAATACCAATGGATGGTTCCAGAAAAATGTGACGTTATTCCTTTCGTATCTTTAAAATTTGGATTCACATTTTATCAAAACATTTTTTACGTCACAGGCTAAATACGGTACACCAGCCAAAAGCTTCCACGTCATCGGTCACAGTCTGGGCTCTCACATCTCTGGTTACGCTGGGGAGAGGGTGCCAGGTTTGGGGAGGATTACAGGTAGGTTGGTAGGTGGGGAGTATTAAAGGTAGGTTGGTGAGTGGGGAGGTTTACAGTTAGGTTGGTAGGTGGGGAGGATTACAGGTAGGTTGGTGGGTGGAGAGGTTTACAGTTAGGTTGGTAGGTGGGGAGGATTTCAGGTAGGTTGGGGTGTGGATTACAGGTAGGTTGGTGAGTTGGGAGGTTTACAGGTAGGTTGGTGAGTTGGGAGGTTTACAGGTAGGTTGGTGGGTGGGGAGGTTTACAGGTAGGTTGGTGAGTGGGGAGTGTCACAGGTAGGTTGTTGAGAATGATGAATATAAACCTGTTTTAACCCTCCTTACTTTTTGTTTTAGTTTGTTGATAGAAAAAACGTGCATGAACATTTGTTTGATGTTTTATAATGATCACAAAATCCTAGAATGTGAACGATGTTTTTCATTATACATTCCCATCGTCATATAGGCATATCAAAATGTGTATGTAACTAACACATTTATAGATACTTTGCTGTTTTTTTTTTGTTTTTTTTTTTAGGTAAAATGCACTGTCAAAGATAAAATAGTTTATTAAAATTATTAAAATTGTATTAGAGACTGTAAAAATGGGGTCATATATAACTTGAATTAGCTACTATTCACATCACTTAAGAACCACTTATCTCTGTTCCACAGGTCTGGACCCCGCCGGCCCATATTTTGAGAACACTCCAGTCAGCATCAGACTTGACCCCACTGACGCGTTGTTTGTTGACGCCATCCACACTGACGCTGGGACTCTTCTCACAGCTAGTAGGTTAATCGTTTGCAAATGCGATAATAAAAAAGAAAAATATAAATAGTTTGTCCAGGATAGTTATTTATTTTCTAGCTGCTAAGCCTGATGAAAGACATGTAATAAATATTAATTTAAATTTTGTTAGATATTTAGTTATCTACGTCAGTTTTTAGGGATACAATGTTTTGAAACATGAGGCTTAAAAAAGAAAGACATACATAATTATGAACAATTATTTATTACAAACTAATAATCAAACGAATTGTAATCGACTCGTTTAAAAATATTTAAAATCTCTCGAGTAACTTGAGTATGTGACAAATTAAATAAATCAATTATAATATAGGCATATAGGATATAATAAAATTATACAAAAATTATGATCATTAAAGTTACTCTTGAAAGGGATATCCATAATAATTATAAAAAGGTTATGCTGACTGGGTTTACTCATGAATATAACATACATATTTTTTTTAATGAGAAATGGTTTTAAATTGTTTAAAACGTTCATTCGCGAATACCACACAGACCTCGGCATCATGCAGGCTGTAGGTCACGTTGACTTTTATCCAAACGGTGGACACAATCAGCCTGGGTGTATCCAGTCTCCTATTACATCCATTGAGCAGTGGGGGCTTATTGATGGTAGGTGATGTGAAAGTGTGGGCTTATTGATGGTAGTGGTTGTGGGGGCTTATTGATGGTAGGTGATGTGGTAGTGGGGGGGGTTATTAATGATATGTGTTGTGATAGTTGGGGCTTATTGCTGGAAGGTGTTGTGGGAGTTTATTGATGGTAGGTGTAGTGGTTGTAGGTGTTGTGATAATGGGGGCTTAATGATGGTAGGTGTTGTAACACTTGGGACTTATTGATGGTAAGTGTTGTGGTATTGGGGGCTTGTTGATTGTAGGTGTTGTGATAGGGGAGGGGGCTTTTTAATGAAAGTCGACATAGTGGGAGCTAATTGATTTTAGGTGTTGTGACAAGGGCATAGACAGTAAAAAAAAACATATAATAGCATATCTCATATATATATATATATATATATATATATATATATATATATATATATATATATATATATATATATATATATATATATATATATATATTATATAACTGAATTGACTTTGTGTTACTATCCAAGGCGCCGTTGACTTTGTCATCTGTAACCACATGAGGTCCATCCACCTGTTTACAGAGAGCATCAACTCCAGCTGTCGCTTCAAGAGTTATCCTTGTGCTAGTGAACTCAACTTTGTGGTAAGTAGCTGAGTGTAATTGTACAACCACGATGAGTAGAATGAACGATGACAAATGTAAAATGGTATTGAGTTCGTTATAATTTCCATTAACTCGAATCTTTTGAATGTGCCTAAGTCCGCCCTTCTTTGATTGAATCTGTCCACTCCTTATTCCTGTGTCTAACACAACTGCTATAATTAAAAACCTCCCCATCCCCTCCCCAGTTGGGTTGGTGTAACACATGTGGTGTGTCGGGCTGTGCCAACCTGGGATTCTGGGCCAAGCCAACGCCTGCTGGAAAATTTTTCTTGAAGACTGCTGGAAATCCGCCATTTTGTTTGGCTTAGTTGCAATCTGTTGACTCTTGTTAACGTAAAATAAACCAAAAAATTAATACTTGTTTTGTAGCTTGTTTTATGTTTAATTAGATTTATTTTAGCAATTTTCTTGAACCTCCTTACGATCGACTCGTGATTTCCTACTGCTACCATGGTATCCTCTTTACAGTAGGGCTGGTAAGTAGGTCATCAACCAGTTCTTCGGCTCAATAAAAACTGCATGAGCCATAGAACTGATTGGTGACCTACTTACCAGCCCTATACACCCCATCAAGCTGTAAGGCAATAGCTAGACTATATCTCAACTTGTTGACCTCTTCTCCGTGTTGTGTGTAGATTATAAACACCAAGTTTGTTTATGTATTCTTTAAATCAGGGGTCTCCAAACTAAGGCCCGCTGGCCGGATGCGGCCCGCGAGGTCCTTTCATCCGATCCGCGGAGATCTTTTTGTTCACGAAAAAAAGTTTGTTAGAAGTGGCTGAGGTACTTTGCTCAGAAAATTCAAAACAGTTTGAAAATCTACCTTTGGGTATAAATACCATTGCCCTCCGTGTTGCAAACATTGATGAAAACATTGTGACTCAAATAGAATCGCTGGACAGCTGTTCCATGTTTTTGGAGCAAGTACAGGGCAACAACTCGACGCACTTTCGCACTTTCAGCAGTGCAGAGTCTTCATGGCTGAAGCAATAGCTGAGTTCCCCACATCATTTGCATGCAAGATCATCAAAGACCTCCAGCTGCAGTTTCAGTAACGGTTTTCTGACCAGGATTCAAAGGCAGAAGAAGTGAGACTGCTTCAAAACCCATTTGAAGCAAATGTAACCAGTTGCCCAGATGAACTGCAGATTGAGGTCATTGAATTGCAAGCAAATGACTTCCTTAGAGACAAGTTTAAAAAACGGCGGGTGGGTTTTTGTGTTTGCCCAAGGAGAACAAACTTGGACCTGAAGTGTGTTGTCGGCCGGACAGTGTTTTTTTCAGACTTTTTCTCCAGGAAGGAGGGGGGGGGTTGCATTTAAAATGTGTTTATATTTCTATATAAATTCTATTTCTTTGGGGGGGGGGGGGGCACGGTGAACACCGCCACCCCAAAGGATGCATGGAAGAAACTCTACTCTGGCCCGCAAACTGATATTTGATAGTTAATGCGGCCCTTGGGCTGAAAAGTTTGGAGACCCCTGCTTTAAATAGAAATCCGTCTCATTTTCTAACACTGAATCAGAGTCGTAGCGAGGAGGGGGGGGGGGGGCGGGAGGCGGACATATGTCCCCGGGCGCCGACCTTAAGGGGGGCGCTAAAATGGGTTGGAAAAACAAATTGAAAGTTTGAGAGGGGAGGGGGTGCAAATGAAAAGTTGGAGGGGGGTGGAAACCGAAAGTTTGTTCCAGGGCGCCGTGAAGGGTCGCTACGCCTCTGCACTGATTAGACTGAAACGATCGTTCTATTAGCCAGGTGACGGATGAGCTGATTTTAAGAATGTTTTTCTCGTGAGAGCCAACCACGGAGGTTAATAAGGGGCTGATCATTTTTTTTCTTAAAGGGGGCTTGTTTAGGATTGTATGCGAATATTCTAAGTCGTATGTGGTGACGATTTAAGACAAAAGAAATAATAAAAATAAAATACTCAATGTTTTAAGAACTTAAATATTGAATTTTTTTTTTAAATTTATAATTTTTAACAATTTATAATTTATATATTTATGAATTTATAAAATGTATAACTATAATTTATAAAACTAGAACATAAAACAAATATAAAGGTTTTTCAAAATAATACGCTGCACTAAAAATATAAACGAATAAAACAAACATGCTTTATTTATTAAAAGCATTATAACACCCAAAGCTTTTACTAAAGATATTAAATGTCTTATGTTGTAGTGCATTAAAGCTTTCTATATAATTTTTTATAATATTTTTGTGTACAATTCAAAATATTGACCTTACATAATCTACCACACGAGCATAACTCTCACTTCAAAAACCAGCCATTATCTCCCCCAAAATCTACGTAGTTATTCAGACGACAGGATCAAATGAAAGCATGTTCCGCTATGTTGCTGCTACTTATTTCTTCCTCTGATCTTGTGGAGTGTTTGAGTTAGTGCACCGTGGCCAACAGATGTCGACTCTACAGAGTTCAAGAGAAAAACCAAAGGCCATTCAAGTGAGAAATACAAAATCAGGGGCAGAGCTAGACACAAACCCCCCAATACACCGACAAGAAATTATGGACCGCCAATTTTACTTTAAACATTATATAAAAATAAAATTATAAATATATATATATATATATATATATATATATATATATATATATATATATATATATATATATATATATATATATATATATATTTAGTTACACACGTAGTTCTTTTTGTTACACATATATATCAAGTGGTAAGTAAAATCTCATTTAGAAGTTACATTTTTATGGGTCATATTGTCGGGAGCCTATATGTTGGTCTCAAGGGCGGAGAAAAGCGATTTTAGTGCCACACATTATCAAATTCGTTTTTTTAAAGACACACAAATCTATATGCAACGTCCATTATATTTAAATGGACAGTCTTCAGCCAACGCCCAGTACAGCTTGTTCGACTTAAAAGGGCCCACCATTTCGTATCTAGGCCCAACGAAAAGATGACCTATCCTCTCTAATCAAGGCTTATTAGAAGTAGAGGACCACGGATTCAAACCTAAGCCAATCAGGACCATTAACGGGAACCTATCATCTTGAGCATGGACACAAGAACCCACCATATTTATCTAAACACGCCTAGCAGTTAAGGGAGAAAGGGAGACCAACCGTCTAAAACAACGTCCCATGAAAGGGCATACCGTCTCTTATAATCGTAGACTAAAAATAAAAAAGCCACTGCTATAACTATAATGTATTTTTACACACACGAACATTCAAATATTCAGAATGATTAAATTTTGAAATGAAAATGTTGACTATTTACGGTTGGGTTATGGGACCACTAGAATTCTCGACTATGTCGCCATTTGAATCTACCCCCCTCCCCAATCCGTTCGAGGTGCGTGGTTCTGCGGTATCGTAGTTCCACCCCTGTGGCAAAGAGAATTTCTTTTTAACAACTACAAAGGGCAACTTAAAGTGATTTCGTATAAATGTTATATAAAGGAAAAAAAAAGCATTTTACGCCAGAGAGATTTTTTGTTATTTGATGGTAGTTGTACGTATACGTACTTGTTTCTCTAAATATCTAAATACATATACATAATTATAATTATATACATATATATATAGGCCTATATATATATATATATATATATATATATATATATATATATATATATATATATATATATATATATATATATATATATATAGGCTATATAATGCTATAAAATGAGATTTGTACTGTTTAATACTCTAGGAGAGAGAGCAAGATTTAAAAAATGCAGTCGAGTTTGTTTTGTGTACTTCTAAACATCTTAGTGATTACAGCCCAGAATAGTTTGTTCAGTAAGTTTTAAAAGTTTGATTTTTTTTGTTGCATACATTTGTTCAGTAAGTTTTAAACGTTTGATTTATTTATTACATACATTTGTTCGGTAAGTTTTAAAAGTTTGATTTTATTGTTACATATATTTGTTCAGTAAGTTTTGAAATTTTTATTTTTTTGTTACATTTGTTCAGTAAGTTGTCTAAGTTTGATTTTATTGTTTCTAACATTTGTTCATTAAGTTTTGAAATTTTGGTTTTATTGTTACATATATTTGTTAAGTAAGTTTTAAAAGTTTGGTGTTTGATTTTTTGTTAGCAGATACGTTTGCAATAATTATTTTTACACTATCGCCTGAAAATAAAAACAGCAAAAAAATTGATTTTAGATCAAGTTCATAAAACAATGTCTGGAAATTTTTTTTGCTCTGTGTAAAGATCGCTTTCAACGGTTTGAATTGTATTAGCACATGGTCACCACTATATACTGAAAGTTATTACAACAAAAAATATTTTAAAATTATGGAAGCTTTGGACCAGGTTTCTATTTTTGACGTTTGAAAATTGTATTAAATTGTTCTGTGTTTTACA